TGGGTAGCGCAGTCTTGAGTCGCAGACTCTTGACTGCGAACACACATATATAAACCGTGAATGGTGATGTTCATCACCAATGGCGGGAAATCAGGACTCACAGCTTCAAATCAGGCGTGACTGCTCGTGACTACTCACGAGTCACGAGTCTGAGTCGTGGGTGTGCTTATTCAAGATTGCCGAATCTGAATCGTGAATCACGTGAATATCATAGTCGAAAGTGCGCGCACGCTGCTGCATGCATGAATACCACGATTTCATTTGGGCCCTTCCTTTGACGCCACACGTAGATTACACGGAAGCCCCCATCACGGGATGCTCGCAACACCATCTCGCATCTTGCAGCGCGATCCATCAAATACGAGCTGACGCTTTCCACACGCAGGATCAAGCCAGCTGCATCAATATTCACCAAGTCTGTGTCCATCATTGGCAAGACAAGGAGAGAAAAAGACAGAGTGAGAGACGTGCCAAGCGCACACGATCCAGCTGGTCGCCTACCCTTTGCTTGCCAGCGAGCTCGCGAAGTCATGGCGGCCGCCAAGGGCAAAAAGGTGATCGGCACAAGCAATGCTGCAAAGCCTCCAGCAAGCGGCACGACCTCTACGAAGCTCTCTGAGGAAGCTTCCGCTGCTTTGCTAGGGGTGGCGCCTGATGCGACGAAGTTGCCCGAAGCCCTCAAGGCAAACGCTCCGGTGGAAGGGACCACTGCAGGTGCGCCAGGCTCCAATGGTGCTGCCGGCCATGTTTCACGGGCGCAAGTCCTCGTGACGAAGAGGATCAAAGCGCTGACAAAGAAGCTCGTGAGTGTGTGTGCCTCTGGAGAGGATCGACCTTGCGTGGTGGGTTTCAATCAGCAATGCGCTGGCTGAATGTCGTAGTTGCTCTTCAGCAACGCATGGAGAGCTATCTGAACGCGCCTCCGGAAACTCTTGACGCCAACCAGAAGAAGAGTCTTGCATCTAGATCTGTCATGGAGGCAGTCGTTGCCGAGCTTCAGGAAGTGGTCAAGCAGCTTGCAGCTACGGAGTCCGACCAGAAAGCATCTACAGATGCAGACAAGAAGGTCCAGATCGAAGTTACCGCCGCTGTCGTCCGGGTGAGTGAAGATTCACGTGGCGCCCTCTACGATGTTCACACTGAAACGCAGACCATCATGAACGCTACGCCAACAGGACGAAGCAACGAGCCATGAATCACTTCAAAGGTCTTTCTTTGCAATGCATTCATACGTCGCCGATCGAGCCGGCTGGTCGGGCGCTCCTCCGTCGTTTGCGCCTCGAAGTGTGCCTGCTGCATTGGAGAACATCTCCGGAGACACCATCCAAGCGATCAGAATCCTCTTCTTGCGTCTCACTGCGCTCCCAACTTCCGACGATGTGGCCTCGGCAGCTGCAGAGGGGGAGATGGAAAGACGCTTGCAAGACGCCCAGAGGGCTCTGGACAGCTTGGGAAACTCATCCGATGAGGCGATCGTACCAAGATTAACGCCCACTTGTAAGTGGTCTCCCACAGAGCTGCGCTTCTCGCGTCACGAAGCTCACAGGCTCCACCTGGAACGATTCTAGATTCACAAGTGGTCGATTTGATCAAAGCCCTCGAGAAGCCATCTGCTCCTGCTGTTGCTGCTCCTGAGCCAGCACCGTTGGTGAATGGCAGCCTGCATCAAGGGCACGGGACACAATCGAGCTCGAACGCTGCTCAAGACGGCGTCAACTCTCATGAGCGCGCTTCGAACGGTATCAGCTTCTTGCAAGCATCTGAAGTTGGTACTAGCGACCCTGGCGAGGTGAGATGAGCAGCAGGTGTCCCATGGTCTCAATCGAAAGTTGTATGCAAATGTCTGACAACCTACGCCATCGCACGGACACGGCCAGTACAACGCACCGGTGCCAATTCTTCAGCCTGGCACAGGTTCGAGTGGCGTTCTTGCGCCCTCGACCTCCGAAACGGCACCGGAAGGTGGAGCAGCTGGTGGCCTGGAGCCTCAAACTCACGTGTCGGCAGCTGATCCGGCGTCTGGCGCGTCAGAATCTTTGAAAGTGGTGGCGGAAGCTGGCCAACAAGACGAGGTCCAAACGCATGGCAAAGCGGTGGAGGACACGCCCAAGTTTAATTGGGCTGACGACGAGGGGGACGACCTCGACGAGCCACCAGCAGAGTGGAGTACTCCGGCCACTGTAGCTGGTACACCGGCACGGGCTGCTAGCGGCACTGCCACGCCGCAAATAGCTGCTCCTACCGTTTCTGCTGCTGTGAGCCAAAAGGTTGCTGCTGTGCCGGCAGATGCATCTCCTTCAGGGGTGCCCGCGAATGGGCAAGCTCCTGCGGATTCGTCGGCTGCTCCTACTATCGACGCTAAGGGTGTCAGGAAAAGTGCAGCGCAAACACTGAACCGACCAAATGACCCGAGGCGGCCTGCGCGGATACCTCAAGTAGATGATGACGGGTTCGAGCAGGTGGTGTCGCGCAAGAATGTGCGTGCCAACGAGCGAGGAGGTCATGCTGGACGTGGAGGAACGGGGGACTTTAGGGCAAGAGGTAAGGGCGGCGATGCGAGAGGTCGAGGCAGAGGTGGCGCGTCTGGAGGATGGGTCCCTCCTGCGCCGGGTAATCATCAAGGTCATCATTTGGGTGCTCAGAGGGGAAGAGGTGAGTCAGAAGAGCGTCGGTAATCATCGAAAGCTACTGATACTAAATCGCGCGAACGTCCGCCTGCGTCCCTGCAGGGCAGACGCACAGTCAACAGATGAGGGGCAGAGGTCGCGGCGGGCCTGATGGCTTGGCTGCAGCTGCGTTGAGGTAAATGTCGCTTTTCAGGGCATCATCATCACTTGCCCAAGTCAATACCATGCAAGTGTTTAGGGGCACATGCGATAGCCATCAGCGCCCTGAAGCTTGATTGCCCCTGCCAGCCCTTCGGTGCTTTGTATACGCATTTGCGCATCACTGTCTACACCTCCCTCCAATGATGCTGCCGCACAGACGTGAGCTGTTCGCACAGCATGACCCAATTTGGCAAGAGTACCGCGTACTACCAATCAGTGCCGTGCGTGAATTGGTGCCGAGAGACCTTGTAGTGAGGAGCGTCCAGCTGTACTCTTTGGCAAAACAATCTGACATCTTCCTGACGAAGGCGTCCACGTGCACTCTGCTGCACGAGCGTTTGTATCGTTGAATGAGATTTACAAGGACGCAATAGCATGCATTGGGAATTGTCGCGCCTGTTCGTGTCTATGCCTCGTCAGTTTCGCTGGCAGGAGGTGGTCTGGCCAACAATGACTCTCCTCGCGTTCTCGCCTGCATGTCCCACTTGGCCTAATCATCATGAAGTACCAAGAGGGTTGGGAATTTGGAGATAAACACCAGCATATGAAAAGGAGGAAGGGAACAAGATGAGCAGCGAGGTTAGCAAGCTTCGAGATGTGAAAGTCGCACCACAGTGTGCAAGAGTGCAAAGCAGAGTGAAGTGGTAATTTGAACGCGTGCAAAGTTGGGCGGGTGCCTCGCTCAAAGGGCTGTAGCTCGGTTGAGGCTCGACGTTGACCGCACCGCGCCCCGGAACCGGATGCGCGGAAGAAGATCTCATCGCCCCTGCGTCACATCCAAACTCCAGCGACCTTGGTTCGACAATCACAATCCAAACGCGAGTAGTACGCTTCGCCCGACACCGGACGAAAAGGCCTGGACCACCGCTTCGACTCACATCGGTGGCTTGCGCCAGCTTGAAAGTTCCATAAGGGATCAGAGCTCCAAGGACGAGCACGACCCAAGTGTTCCTAGGCGTCAATCTGAAACGCTCGTAAACAGTCTGTCTCTGCGGGCACAGAGGGGCGGAATGCCAGCGTTGTGATCAGCGGATGAGCCGGTGCCGGCCAATCATGGCACAGTCTCGACACACCATGAAGCCCCATCGCTCGATGGCAGGATCCACCTTCACTGGCGAGTAGTGCCCTCCACCTGCCATGATGTGATTGCTGGAGGTGGTTGATGGCTCTGTGTGAAAATGGCGCCTTTTGATTGACGACGCAAAATGCGAGACCCTCGGTCGTTGTGGCTGCTTGCTCGATCGGTGGAAGTAGGATGCGATTGACGTAGGCCAAGACGATATAAGATCCACTATTCGCACGACCTGATGTGACAGTTGTGAGGTTGGAAGCTGAGCTTCAGAAAGTGCCCTGACTCCTCCGATTGGGAATTGATGTGCCATGTCATAGCGCACGATGTACAGTACGTGCACTCACACTCACAACTCAGATCAGACTGCAGCAGCTGGGGGCGATGAGCTCTACACGCGCTGTGTAAGCACCACGTGGAGCGCCGGCGCGCAGGCCAAATGGCCTGCTGCCTGAAAGACCTCCGCGCTGCAGCTTCACCAAGTCATGACTTCTCGCTTCACATCTTCTCCGACTCACTCCTGACTGGCGCGCTCGCTCCCACCTTCACTGACCTTGGCCGTAGCGCACGACTCGACAAGTTTTCTGGCAAGCCAATCCTCTTTGATCGCTGCTCCTGACTGCGCCTGTCCTTTGAGAACAGCTGGATTTTTGCGGCTTTACCACCACGCCCCGATCCCTTTCTCTTACCCAAGCGCCGCAAACCTCATTTCGCCAACATGTCCAGCGCCGCGTTCTTAAACTTTGGAGCTTCGACTTCACGTGCTTGTGCTGCGACAACGAGGACGAGAACGGGTGCGTTCGGGGTGCTGAAGACCTCTCGTGGTGCAGTCGCACAGGCCAAAGCCGAGCGGTCATTCCACTGCTGTCCACCTCAACTGAAAGCCCCCGTAAAGAAAGCTGCACGTGAGTGATCGCAGCGTTCAAATTGGAGTCTTTATCTGGAAATCAACTCACGAGCCTAAGGCACGAATGCTGTCCCATCCTGCAGAGAAGACACGCGTGGTTCGCAAATCCGGTACGGTCGCAGAGCGGCCTCGCGGTTCTGGGCCTCGAAGGGCAAACACGGCAGGAACTCATACGAAGCAGGCGCCTTTCTACGAGCTGAGCATCGTCAGGTCCAACTTACCCGTCTTGGATGCTCAGGTCTACGCAGAAGGCAATGTCGGCAGAGCGTACGCGTGGAATCAGCAAATTACCACTTTGTCCAGGGAGACATTGTTGCCTCATCGCATTCAGCAGGATGTGCGTACTGCTGAAATGATTTCCTGCCTCGAGTTAGTGCGCTTACTCCATGCAATGCTTGTATCTGTGTAGATCCCGAGGACCATCCTTCGCTCGACAACGCTCCAGCTTCAATCAGCTCTTGACCAAGCAGCTGCGTCAGTCGACAGTCCAAGACATTTGCTCGTTGGAGGACCTTCCACGGGAAAGTCGCACATCCTGCTTCAAGCAGTGTCCTATGCGCTCGGCAAAGGGTACATTGTCGCCTACATCAAGAGCGGTATCAACTTGATTCGAGGAACGTCGGCCTTCGTCTACGCGCCAAAGCTGCAAGTATATGCCCAAAGCTTCTTGGAGCGGCGTATTGCGGAGTCTTTGCGGGTGCAAGAATTGCTAGCAGAGGTGCCGGTGATCGAATCTCCGCTAAGGGAGCAAACAAAGGGTGCCTACTTCGGATCATGCAAGACGTTGGCATCCTTCGCGGCTTCAGACAAGACGCTTCCGGTCCCTCGTTCCGCAGCGTTTGCTCTTTTGCTGCAGAGCTTGAGCCAGCAGACCAAGGTGCCTTTCCTACTGGCGATCGACGAAGCTCAAGCTCTCTACATGCAGAGCGCATACACGGACGTAGATCACAAACCCCTTCAAGCTTGGGAGTTGTCTCTCCCTCGGACGCTCTTGTCGGCCATGCAGCAGGGTCCGCAGCGGGGTGCGCTCATGGGCGCAATTGGCATGAGCTCTACGCAGTGGTATCCGACACCGGCCCTCTTGAGATCCATCAACAGGCCCGATTTGGATCCTGCGGCGATGGGCTTGAAGAGAGATCTTCCTTACAACCCATACACTCATGAGGAAGAGCTCAACGAAAAGCACGCCAAAGAAAGCAGGTGGTCTGCTCTGGATGTGCCTCCTCTCACTGATGTGGAGGCAAGAGGTCTGTGGGAGGTCAAGCGAAGGGAAGGCGGGTATTGGAGCAGTGAGTTGTTGCTTCCTCAGATGTCTGCGACGCCTCTTGTCTACACGCTTGCTGAAACAGGCTCTCTGCCTTCATTGTAGCCCCAAACGATGAGCTATTCATCTCCAAATACCTAGAGTCTGCTGGCAATATCGGCGCTTTCTCAAAGAGTTTGGTGCGGACTTCCCTATAATAGCCGCTAATGAGAAGGGGTCGAAGTCGATCACGACCATTTGTAGGGTTGCAGCTGCAATGTCGTTGTATTGAAGAATGATAGAGATGCATCACTCAGCAGCGCAAAGCCACGTCCGTCCTGTGAGCTGAGACTATTAGGGATACAATGATGGTGGCCGCTCGCAGAATTACGTCAACTCAAGACAGCCGCTCGGGTCCGAGAAGTCAGGTGCGGGGCTGTCTACGTTCTCTGAAAGCGCGCATATCTCTTTCTACGTCCTTCTCGATCTGCGCTTCTTCATCTTCCTCCCTCTGCCTCTCCCTCTCCTCGATCTCCCGAGTAATCTCCTCGAATCTGCCGCTTTCTTGCGCCGCTCGCAAGGGATGGGATTGAGCCTTCACTACTCCGGTCTTGTCCAATCGATCAAACAGAGTAAACAGCTTTTCCGCTTCGATCTCTTTCTGCTCGTCTGACATTTTCGAGATCTCGTCGTCCGCAAGTTCGGCTGGAGTCGGGTCGTATTGGCCGGTGATTGGGTTGATGGTCCGTTTTGGTCCGTTCTTGGCGGTGCTGGCATCTGACCTTGATTCGGTCGGCAAAGCGTATGCAAGATTTGCGGACATGAGAAAGCCTGCGCAAGGCCCGTAGCCAATTTCTGCCGTCATGACTTTCGCTGCAAAGAAGAACAATGTAAGTGATGAAAGAAACGTGGGGCGCGCTCAGACTCGCAAAGATCTTCCGCGCTACTCACGATTGCCGTCGCAGACAGCGAGTAGCATCTCGCCCATTACGCGCGCAAGACGCGAGAGGAAGACAGAGCTCATCAAGCGGACACATCGTCCTGTGAGATCATTGCGCTTGTCGAGCGGTGAGGATCGGTCACTGCGTGTGGTAGAAGAAGAGGAAGCTCGGCGCTTCAGCTGCGATTCTCAGGCGTCACGCCCACAGATGTACTGACATGTCTGATGGAAGCAGACGTGCTCGCAGAGCAGCTCTGCAACGCTGATCCTCGGTTGCCAGCTTGCGCAAGAGGAGGATCAAAGGTTGATGGTGGTCTTCGAGATCAACACCGTCTCTTGCGGCAGCGTGTTTGGCTTGGCTATCGTCACTGTCGTCAACTGCTGGGAAATATCGCAGCAGGGCGCCCTCTAGCATATTGACTAGTACCGCCAAAATTGAGGGGGCTAAAGCGACACCCGTGCTACTGATGGTCGTTCCCATTTCACCAGTAGTGCTGGCTGTGTCAGGACCAGAAAGCGAAAGGTGCTGAGACAATGGCGAACTAGGAGTGCTGGAGCCTCCAAATCGAGGTGACGCGGTGCTCGAACTTTTCGGAAATAAGACATTCGCCACACGCCTAGCTGTGGAAGGTGATGCCGGCTGGCTAACTTGCTCATCATCGCTCCTTCCAGAGTCCCTCGAATTCCGCCGAACTGAGTACCAAGCTGCTCTATTGGCGCCGACGGGACAATTCAGCAGTACCGCTATGGCGTTCGTCAAAGGAGGGGCCAATGGCAAGGAAAGAGGATCTGTGGCAGACAACAGCAATTGAATGGTGGGCTCGATGAGGCTGCAAGGTAGGCCAGAAGTGAGTGTGATGGGCGAATGCGATGACACGTGATCCCGGAGCTCAGCTCACCCTTCCAGCGCTGGAGACCAAGCCTCGCCGATGACAGCCTTGTCTTTGGGCGGGCTTGTTCCATGACCAGCTTTTGCCTGTCGCGGATAGTACAGGGTCAGGTTGAAAGCAGCTTTAAGAGCCTCTGATGCTGCATTCCGCAAAGCCTCTTCCGAGCCTGGCACCGCAAGCTCAGCGGCGAGGGTCTCTGGGATCGCTTGACCAAGATGAAACGCAACATGCTGCAATAGCTGCTTGAAGGAAGTGAGTTGCCGCGAGCTCAGCCTGCGATTTCTCTGGTCGTGCGACGAGCTGCCGAACTCACCTCAGACAAAATACCAGGAGCATCAAATGTTTCGACGGCGGCTTTGCAAAATTCAGCGTCAAAGAGCGTCGCGTAGAAGAGCAGCCTTCCCGACAGGAAGAGGATTTCGGCAGGGGTCACAGAAGGATTCTATCAACGACATACGAGCTTCTATCAGCTTTGAGGTGTTCTGCCACTTCGTCTGGACTCCTACTCACCTGCAGCATCTGTAGCGCGATGCGCCCACCACCTATCTGGGGCGATCCGAAGCGCGACCGCATGTCTTCGTGCAAATAGAGCGCATTGTTGATACATCTGAGGGCCATGTCGGTTGTCCGCCACTGCTCGATGCTGATACAGTCGCGCATTTCAAGGCTCCGCTCATCATGGGAAGACGGCGATGCACTACGCTGCCGTGCTTCTCGGCTGCGGCTATCGGGCACTAGTCCGAGAGAAGCTTGCGACTTGTTCGAGCTGGATGAAGAGGTACGCTGTCGGCTGGAGGGGGTCACGCGGCCAATAACGCGCTTCAATGCGCTCGAGATGGGAGCACCACTGTCCTTGTAGCCTTCGAGCGAGGGAGGCGGTCTATGGACGCACGCAAGAAGCGTCCGAAGCGACTGGCAGGGGCCACAAGGAGCAGAGTTATTGCAGCAAGCATAATCATTCTCGTCAGCCCCCCCGTCACTCACCTCCGGCTTTGCAATCTCGGCGCTGCCGCCCGCAGACAGTCTTCCAATCTCTTTGAGTGTTCGCAAAGCTATCAACTTCGCGTGCTCATCTAACCCCGGACCCTTGCCATTCTCTCCGCTTCTCTCACGCCCAGCATCGCAAGAGTCGTCACCTTCCACACTTGTTACGGGAGAATGCGCAAGCTCCTCCAATATTGCGCGTGCGGTTTTGCGCTGGACAGGTCCTGGTAGCTGTGACGCTCCGCTGGGTGCAGCTTCGAGGAATGCGGCGAGATCCCGAGTTGCTGCGTTGAGCGTCGCACTCGACGACGACTCTCTTGCTACCGATCCACTAGTGCACGTGCTCGCCGCATCGCTGCGTCCTGGATTCATCGGCTCGTGATGACCGAGTCGAGGAGGAGAGCGCTCCAGAAAAGAGATGAGGTGTGCTGCCATGTCGTCTAACCTATTGAAGCAGACTAGGACCTCCTAAGATCGCTTGAAGGCTCAGTTGAAGGCCGTTGCAGGTTGCGAGAGCACTTACTTGATGCAGTCGAGTGTCTAACCTCAATACGGGTAGAGCTCGCACAGGATTTGTAGACTTTAGAGATTGCCGGGCGATGAGTCTCGCCAAAGACCGTACGACTCGTGTGTGCATGCGTGTCTTCAATGTGCGCTTGGTGCACGTCAGTCGAGAGGAGCGACACCAGACCAAGTAAGACTTGTAAATGACGCGAAAAGTGAATCTGGGACGTGGTGGCAAGTCCTCCCAGACTCCGGCACGCCACAGCACACGGAAATTGGAATGGGCGCAAGCGGGTTGTTCGTAATATGATGCCGGATGAGACTTGGCTGCCAAGGCAGGCATGAACGGTGGCTGATGCACGAGTAATGATCGATCAGCGTGTCAGTGCTACCGAGCTCTTAGTGACAGGACAAGGAAGGCGGTCCTGATAAGATCGCCGGCTTGAGTGGCTAGGAAGATGTCGTGTGAAAAGCGCTGGTCGGGCGCGTATCCCCAAACGCTGGGATCTGATCCAAAGGCCGTGATCCTATCAGCTGTTGATCAGGTGTGAGGAGCGTCAAAGATCTCGTCAGGCCCTCGAACTTGATTCACACTCAGTGACTGCTGTTCAAGCTTTGCTTGTCATCGTCGAGAAGTGGACAAACATCTCATCATCGCTCACAGATTGGCACCGCAAGCGGCGATGGCCAGCCATGCAGCTTTGCTGCAAGGTGTTGGTTTCGCATGATGCGCGGCGACCGACAGCGCCCGCGGCCGCTAAACGCGTCGCGGCAGGTCACTTCTGTCTCGCGCCGTGTATTTCTCCCATACTGATCCACGTCGGCAGGCAGACTCTCATCGCGTCCACGCGTGCAAGAGCATCTTGGCTTGTGAGCGAGAGGCAAACGACGGCCACCCTGCTCCCGTGCGTCGTCATTCTTGTCGCGTCTGGGCAAAGGTGGAACCATGGCGTAGCCGTGTTGAGTCATCGCGTGTACGTGTCCTTCGGGCTCATACCGGTATGCGGTGAGATGGAACACGGGCCTAGCTGCGAGGTGGACAGGGCGGCAGACTTGCGACCAACGGATTTCCATGGTGTGTCTAACCAAAAGCTCCACATACATACACAACTCCGCCATTAGCAGCACGACGAGCTCTCGCAACGAGCGGCCATCAATGATAGGTAATACGATGCGCATGTCTGACACTGAGGTCTATATGGGATGGTGGAGTGTGCGCACGGCAACACTGGCAGGATCACGGGACAGTCAGGATATTCGTACAACACTTGATCGTCTGAGCAATAGGGCAGAACCAAGAATTACAGTTTGCGTAAGAAGTGTAGATCCGAAGGGTACTTCCTCTCTATCAGGATTCCTGCGTGCGCAGAAGAGGTGAGAGAGCAGGTCGCGGGCGGCGTGCATTCCTCAGGCGAGTCTATTTGCTGTCCCGCCTCTGTCTTTTGTCATTGGCTGCTGTGACCACCATGTGGTGAGGCTGAGAGGGAACCACTTGAGGGGGCATCGGCTGCGGCTTACCGATTGCTGCGAGCCTCGCCTTGTCTTTGCTAGCTGCACCTGCTCGGTTGCGTTTCTTGATGGTATCCGTTTTGAGGGATAGCGGCCGAACGACACCATGCAGCTTGAGGAACAAACCGCAAGCATTGCATAGCGGATTCCCGTCTGGATCGCGACGCCACAGAGGCGTCTTCATGGTGGAGCAGTTGGAGCAAACAGTAGGGGGATCAGCAGTGGCCATACTGGTCGAGTCGGACTTTGAGGTGGAGGCCAACGCGCCCTCGCCAATGGTTCCATTCGTCGGCTTCTTGGCGTCGGAGCCTGACCCGTTCTTGGAGCTTTGGCCAGCCTTTCCGTGCAGACTCGCAGCGCCTTGAAGGTTGCCCGAGCTTCCTGAGCGGGAGGGATTGTGCTCGAGAGATCTGCCAGGTGGAGCACCGCTCAGAGGGCTGGAGTGGTAGCCGTTTTGGGGTGGAGCTTGGAAAGGAGGAGTGGAAGCTGGATCTGAATTCGTCTGCGCGCTTGCCGGGCTATACGCCCACGGCGAGGTGACCGAGCCTTCGTCACCAGAGGCGAGGCCATTCAGCATGTTGTGGGCTGCAGTGATAGCTGCAGGATCGAATCCACCGGGGCCATGACCAAAGACTTGATTAGGGTTGATGTGTGTGATACCGGGGTGTTGTTGAGCGGCGAGGGTTGCGTCAGAATTGTAGAACATGCTCATAATGGCTTCTATATCGTTCTGCGGAGTGGGCATGTGCTGACCAGCAGCGCCATGACTCTCAGCGAGCGCAGAGCTGTCGCTCGGGCTGTTCAGAGCCCCAGCCCCCTGGGGGCCATACGAAGCTGGGAACCCAGCTGAATCTGGACTCTGGAGAGCAGATGCTGGCACTGAATGGGGATCGAAAGCGCTCATGCTGGGTTGCGAGCCGGGTCCGCCTGGTACCGTCAGATGATGGCCCATGCCGTCCCCTGGTGGAGGAATGGAGAAGTCGAATGTGGACATAGGCACAACGCCGGGGTACATCGCATCTGACTGAGCGAAAGAAGGTAGCAGTCGGGACAGGCCAGCGGCGACGCGCTGGTCTTGCGTGTAAGGAGCGCTTGGAGGTGGGCGAGCCGGAGATGGCTCGTAGGCACGTTTCCGAGCATTCGACGCTGCGATGCCATCGTAGGGAGATGGATGAGGCTGTGGTGCGCGGGATCTGCTCCGTTCAGACACCTTGTGATCAAAGCTAGTCTTACGGACCAATCGTGGGACGAAACCGTATTCGGGGTGATGGTTGGCTTGGTGGCTGCTGAAATCGGCAATGCCTGGCACGCTGCCAATGTTTGACTGAGGCGCGCCAGCAGAGTTAGCTCCAATAGAGTGCATGTCCCAGCTAGTCTTGCGACCTCCGACGAAGAATGGCACGTTGCGCTCGTCCGTGCCAGACCGACGTCCATGACCCGGCAGACCTGTGCCAGCAAACAGATCGCTAAAAGCTGCCTTGCGGAACGCTTGCTGCATGGATGCTTTTTGGGCAGCAGCTGCAGAGCGACCGGGACCACCACTGGAAGTGGCCGTTTGCTGCGAATCTTTGATTGCCTGAGCTGCGGGCCCAAGCTTCGTTTCCGAAGCGAAGTCTGCGTGTGCCAAAGGATTCGACGCTGGTAATGTCCCAAGCGCTAACAGCTCGGGCACTTCTGCAAAACCGTTTGGCGAATCTGCGACAAGTCCGGCGAAGTCCGAGAAGGAAAATCCGCCGCTGTTAGGAGCAGACTGGCTGAGAGTGTTCGCATCAGCTCCTTCCGGCTCGTCAATGCGGCCCAGCAGCTGCGCAGCAGGCGGCCGAGAGCGTGACCGACTCGCAGCTCGCCAGTCCATTGCGCTGACAGACCTGGATCTGGACCTGCTTTTACTCTTGGCACGCCAATCCATGGGATCATCTTCGTGTTGTACGATCCCGACGCTGCCAGCGGTGCCACTGCTCTCAGGAGTGCGCGAGCTGCGGCCTCGGCGGCCGCGCTCTTCCTCTTCGGCAATCTCGACGAAGCGCGCCCGGCCCTTGCCGAGGCCTCGACCGTGATTCGGCGCCGATGGACCTGCGATGGTAGTGAGGCCATGCAAAGAGCCAGAATTGAGGATGCTCGAGTGCGAAATTGCTTCTGGTTGCTCCAGATGCGAGCCACTGCTACGGCGAGAGGAGTCTGCCAGCGAGGCGCGGCTGACGGACGAGGGCGACGTCGGCTGCGAAGCGGAAATCGCGCTTGCGCTTGCAGCATCAGACGCCGTCGCTGCGCCGCCAGTTTCAGCAACCGCCAGCCTACTGCGCTCCTGCTCGGCCTCCATCTTTTCCTGCTCCTTCTTTTTGCGCAAAGTCATTGCCATCATGCGCCATGTCAGATTCTTCGTGCGGAGCGCAGTGTTTCAGCATCAGCTTGGTCACTAAGCCTGGATCCTAGCCGCGCTGTCTTTCAAGAAACTCACCTCCATTCGAGCACCGTGCGGCATTGCATTCTTCTGCTTGGCGTACATTCGCCACACCTGTGTAGCAAGGGGATCCTTGCGCGCCATAACCTCGGGATCTACTTCTTCGTCATCGCCATCGCCAGCTCCAGCACTTCCTCGACGCTCCCGCTGTCTCAATATAGATGCCTCCTCGTCCTCAAGTGCTGAGAAAGACGGATATGTTGCGCTGTCTCCAGACGCAGCATAAGGCGCGCTTGGCTTGCCACGGTTGGATGTTGTAGAAAGGCCCATGTGATCATTGGCCAGCGCAGCACCGGCCGGAGCTGCATTGCTTTTGGGCGGCACAACTCCGTAGAATTGCTCGTATCGAGGTCCAGGTTCTTCGGGCGAAAAGGGGTCCACAAAAGCTTCAGGCTCTCTGTATGCGCGCGTGGAAGGATTCTGCGGACCAGGGGGTTCCTGGAGCCAACTCGGATCATGAGAACGGCCATTAGCTCCTGCATTTGAGTCGATGCGGCGCCGAGAGCTGGAGTTGTTCCAGCTCGCTACAGGAGAAATAGGCCTAGAAGACGACGCCGATGCTAGTGCCGAATGTGCGGCGCTGCTCGCTTGACGGCTATGACTCACGTACGGAGACTGAGAGACCATACTGGCAGACGTGTCAGCGCCAGACAGTTCGGCGGATGGTGGATGGTGATGTGTACGATCATGGAAGCCGCCAGGGTGTGTTGCCGCAGGCGCAGCTTGAGCGTGTTGCTCCACGCCCCACTGCTGGCTGTGTCTCTGTGCTGCTTCATGGTGTGCTTGCTGCCTGGCTAGGTTAGCTTGCAGCGCTTGAGAGAGAAGAGAAATTGAGGGCCCAGCGGGGGCGTTGTAAGGGCCTGAGGTGGAGGCAGGCGGTGTCGGTCGGGTTCCATTCATCTCAAAGCCATGCTGAGGAGCAAAAGTCGGCGAAGAGCCATCGTTGCTCATTATGGGCACGGCTCCGGTTCCCGGTACGACAAAATGAGGCGGCATACTAGGATGGTAGGGACCTGCAAAAGGTGCCTGAGTGTCGACTGGACCCGTAGGCGGTGCTCCCCATGTAGCCTGACTGCTGGAGGGGACGTAGACGTGGCCGCTGTGGTTCGGAATGCTCATTGTCTCTGAGGGCTTCGAGGCAAGCGATAGAGACGGACGCTAGCTTTGAGGATGTCGGATGCGCAATGTCCTGTGCGCCTCTCGAGAGCGGCGATGAGAGGTCCTTAGACCAAGCGGACGAAGATGGATGCGAGGGCCCTCCCTGGAGATGCAGCAAACTCGGCTGCACCTAGCTGCGCAAGACACAGGTGGTCTTTGTTTAGATGAGTGTGAGAAGCAGTGTGAAGCTCGACTGCGAAGTGCGACAAGCCTTCGTCGCTTGACCCCTGGCCTGATCTGGGTGGAATGATTAGGGGATGATCTGGAAGGAAAAGCTCGTCGCGCCGAATTCGTGAGAACCGCTGTTGTCGGGGGGCTTGATTGCGGACTGGGCGTCAAATGTCAGAATTGGTGGGGATACAGCAGCCCATGTACGATTTCGAGGTGACGGATGAACGTTTCGACGCCTACAATGAAGCGAGAGCAACGAGAAAGTGTGAGATGGAATGTACCGGCAATCACGAGGAGCGGTAACGGCGGCGGTAATTCGGCCTTGATCCATCGAGGCGCAACGCGGGCGCGAGACGAGGGGGATGGCACTGATGAGCTGCCTCATCATCAGCGTCGCCGCCATGGCAGCTGAAAGCGACTCGAATTTTTGCAGCAGAGTCACCACGCAGTGCACTGTCACGCGTCGAGCAAATGCTCGTCACTCGTGACTTCTCTAGTGCCAGGCGTCGTCGACTTGTAACGCCGCCCAGACATCAGAAATTGGTTGCTTGGTTGAGCTTCTGCATGTGCAGCGCATGCAGCTACCCATGTGCGGCCGAAAGCTGTGTGAACTCTGCTAGGCCACTTGTGAAGAGTAGTGGCGATGTGCCTGCATCTGTTGTCCTTGAGTCGGAGACAACATCGCGCTCAGCAAGCACCTACCGTGCATATAGTCATGGTGGTCAGTACTACTCATGAACAGCCGCAAGAGGGCCGGCAGCGTCCGGCTTGAGCCCTTCTCTATTCAGATTCACTGTGTACCGCCCTTCATGTCCACGCTCCAAAGCAAGAAGCGTTGTCGACAAGCAAAGCGCAGCATGCGCACGACCAGTCGTGCAGCGCGAGCAACCGAGTGGATCGTCCGAGTTCCTCTCGAGGTAAGGCTGCATCGAACTTGTTGTGTCTTTTTGACGATGGGACCGCCAACCGGTGGATGGTGATTTGTCTAGACTCACGACTCGCCATTCGGACTGTCCCGGCTTGTAAGTTGATTCAGAATTCAGTTGAGTTGAGGCGGCCTTGCTGTGGTCATCGCGTTCTGATTATTCACAGCATCCAATCACGCTGACAAGCAGGAATTAGTGTCGAGCGTGATCCAGATCAAAGCGCAGCTCACCGATCTCATCGTCAGCTGCTCATTCACCCATATACTGCCGTGCGTGTACACCGACAGGTGCATTTGCTGATGATGATCAAGACATTCACGAATTTGACCCGTTCATGGGCCGGGCTCGCACGCATCTGCGTTGCCATCATGCGAGTTCTTGAAACTTTTGACATCAGCACGCGCGACGAGGCGAGACATCGGCAGCGTAGCCATGCGCGCAGACCTTGCGTGGCGTGGTGCGGGCATTGACCCGTAGCGCCCGCCCATTCACCGCAGGCACTGCCGCTGTGCCCGAGCGGTCCAATTGATTTGTGATTCAGTGGGCACCACCCCGGCTGAGGATGACGGCGAGGGCCGGGGCGACGAGACATGCTGTTGTCGCGTGTGAGACCTCTGGTAGCTACCGCATATATGGAAGCACTCAAGTCTCGATCAAGACCGAATCATACATAGGTAGAATGCCCGACCCGCAGGACAGCCTTGGTTCCGTGACAGCCTTGATCCACGGTGAATCACGAGTGCACAAGCGGCGGAATTGGATCAACGTCCGGGTCATGAAAATTGAGTGGTAAACGTGAATGGCTGAATTTCTTAATTCACGATTGCGGCGCAATTGCGGCGCTCGTCGGTAAACGACAGGGAGGTCGTCCTGCTGCACGCCTTCCACCTGATGAGCTACCAGCGCCATTCGAAGACATGCAGCGAATCTACCATTGGGTGCACTGAGACTCACGGACGTGTTCGATCGTGGTTACGGATTGCGCGTCTCATTCTGAGTCAACGATCCATGAATCATAATCAACGTGGCCATGATGACTCAGCTGCTGCTCCTGGAAATTCGGCGACGGTTCTTGTCCGGTGCTGTGTGGCGCACGCGACTTCTCGTCTGACTCGGGCACATATATCAAATTTCATCGTAGCGTCCACCTCAGGTTTTCAAACATCACAATTCAAGATTGGAAAAGGCAAGTGGTAACAAGGGAATCAGCTGACCTCATTCTTGATTCAATTGTTGTTGATCCACAATTTTAGATTGGCACCGTGACTTTTCTTTCGCGTGCTGTCCAAGCTAGTCACGGGATCACGCCGCAGCGCATACTGCCGAAGATGTACGTGTTCCTTCAATGTTCTGTCATCGATCAAGGCTGAGCCATCGCAATCATCTCTTGTCGTGGGCTGGTCGTGAGTCGACCATAAGAGTACTTCCACTATCCTCATTTACCATCACAAACAAGCGTGTTCGGGACTGTACGATGTGGTAGCAGCAGAATGAGCGCGCCTGGAAGCAGCCACAAGGCGCGTGTCAGCATCGACGCGTGACAACTTTTGCCCTCACTGTTGCTACCCTCACTCAAGACTGTCTCCACTAGCTTGGAGTGAAGACTGGTCCTCGCCACTTTTCACTGGCAGAACGCGCGACGGTCTGCTCCCGCTCTGCCTTGATGTAGTAGTGATGATCAAAGTTGTCTTTCAACGTCTAAGCCCGAGCGAAGCACCCTGAGCCCAGACAGCGATTCCAATTTGCAGGTCTCCTCCTGCTAGTCGCCTGCCACATGGAGCTGATTGCGTGCCCTCTGTGCCTTCGCATCCCCTTGTTCTCGACGCAATCGGGGCTGTCGCGTGTCCATCAGGAGCATACCACGGCCTTCCATTGCGACCCAATCATGACTGAGGTTCTTAGTTGTGATGTATTGAGCCTGAGCATAGATGTTCCGAGAACATAGCGCGCCTTTCCAAGCTCGTTGATGCCTTCAGCACGCCCATTCCACCTTGCCCACGAGCAAAGCCCAGGTGCGACATCTGAGCGAGCGATCGAGCTTGGATCTGTGAGCTGCACGAGACTATGGAGATCACAAAAAATCTGATTGAGGAGTTCTTCAGTCAAAAGTCAAGAGTCTTGAGTCAAGAGTTGAGTCAAGAGTCGTGAGTACCGGTGGTTTGGTATCGCGAGTCACGTGACGTCTGCGTGACCACCCTCGGGTGTCGGATGGACGTTGCCTCGGCCCCAGCTGATGCGTGTGTTGCTGCCGCGCACACTGTAGGTCGCGACTCGTGAACCTGCTTAGCGCGGAAATCCATCGGACTAGCGCAACTGGATCACGACTCGTCGTGCATCTCACCGGAAATGTCGCGCTGTTGATAAGCGCGACGCTCATCAGCGTGGACAGGCGGTGAGCTCGTAGGCCAATCACCGTGCGCGTTTCGTGACTTGTTCAGCATGCGATTGAGTATGCCATGGCGAAATCTGGAATGGCAGAAGGCATTCGTGCCTCCGTTCAGGTGACCAACAATATGATTGACAGAGACAAGTATACAAAAATTTGGGGGGTACGTGCGATGCGATTGAGCCGAAGGAGGAGTCACGTACTCGAGAAAGGCCCCCGTTCAGGCTGGGATATCCATTTCTTCACCACGGGGCGCAAATTCGCCACGGCTCATGGCAGCATTGCTCCGCACGAGGCCTCTCTGTCCAGTCGAGATGAGTTGCTGAATATTCCTGTCCAACCCATGCTCGGACATGGGCATAGCCGTGTAGTTTCTCAAGCACCACAGCTCGCTGTCTTCCAGGAATTCCCACTGCCCATCAATGGCCCAAGCCGTGGGACTAATGTACAGCTCTCTCGAGATCTTTTTGAGCTCCAGCAAGCTTCCATTGAACCAGGCCGGTTTGACCTTGCGCGCCTCTTTGCGCGCAAGCTGGACTGCGGTGCTTTTCGGATCCTGATTTTCCACATCAGCCATCAAGAGGGCGGATGCAGCAGCCTCGGCTTCGGCCTTCGCCTGAGTGAGGTTGCTCGCCGCATGGCTGCCGTCACTAATGGTGGTACCAGGAGCGTCGAAGACGTGAAAAGGATGCTCGGAGCAAAAGCCTTCGGCGTGAGCAGCATGCTCGCGTCCGATAGCCCCGGCATAGTGCTTGACGAAAAAGTACTGGAAGCCAGCGAGCTCGAACGCCAGCCAAAAGGTCTCCTGCGAGGCTGCCAGAATGTGAGTGCAGACCGTGATAGGCTAGTAGAACATCTGTGCTGCTTACCTTGTCGCCCCAAAAGATGCGGTAAGTTGTCCGTCGTCGCACCTCGCCCGTGTTCTGCCAAGCTGAGAACAGCAGAGCAGCGAAGACTTCCATGCGACTTTTGTCCACCACGACGATGCCAGACTCTTGCTCGTAGATACCCTTGCGTTGCCAGAAAGCACTTTTGGCCAGTCGCTCGCTTGGCCCTCGAGCTTCCAAGTTGCTGTTCATGAATTCGTGGATGATGGCAGCTGCTCCTGCACGGACGTGATCTCTGTCATGGAAGAATAGCGTGCCAGTCTCTTTGAAACCTTTCTGCTCAAAGAATTCTTCCGGTGAAGCAAGCAGCACAGCATCCGCATCCGCTAGCATCACTTCTGTAAAGTTTGTCGCAACAAGAGCGAACGGTTTCAGAGCAAATCCTTGCCTCTTCAACTGAGTCAAGTTCTCGTCAAAGAAACCGAGCGCTTCCAGATCCACTGTCGAGACGTTTGGAAATTCTGTGGTGAGGTAGTGTCGCATGTGGGGTGGAAGGTCATCCTCGCCGTAGTAGTAGAGCTCTATGGGGATGTTCGAACGATAGTGATCGCGGATGATCGAAATGTACTACAGCGCAACGAGGATGACTGGATGTGGTCAGTGCTTGCTGAAGCAATTTCTCTGAGCTCAGCTCACCTGAATGGCAAAGTCAAAGTCGTTCTTGCCCAAAGACATGACAATACCGCGAGTCTTTGGTCGCTTTTCGCTAGCATAGCGCGCGCCTTCAAAGTAACTTTTGCGCAGGCTGGCGATTCCAGGGATAAAGGGCCACAGCTTGCGCTCGTACTCTTCAAAATCCGGAAGAGATGGGTCGGCCAAGAGATGGGCATACATGGATGTGCGAAGTCCCATCTCCGAAAAGCCTGTCCGATCTCGTGCACGTATCGGATGATCCGTGACGTGCTTGACCCACAGATCTAGAAAGTACGAGTCGGTGCTTGCCTTGGCTTGCATACCGCTCACATCGATGTCTCGCGAAGGAAAGAGCAAATATCGCCAAGCGAGCAACGCGAAGACGGCAAGGGCCAGTCCGTCGAGGCTGAGAAGGAAGCGCCTCGTGGTGAACCAGAGTATACGAGGGGATGGAGCGGCACTCTGCTTGTAACTAAGTTCCCATGGCCTCTGCATGGGACTTTCGAATGATTGTCGTTGAGGTTTTGGGGACAACTCGAACGACTCGTCGCCGTGCCTAGCGGGAAGTCGTTCTCGAGGTCCAAAGGCTGCTGTCCGCATCTTCAAGGTCAGCGGACTCGCTGGGTCGACGTGCATCTCGATGGGTGTAGTGTTGAGAGGACAGCGAGGTGCGACGCTGGGAGTTGTGATCGATGCGGTGAGGATACGTTTGAGAGCGCTGTCAGGACTGAAGACCGCCTTTAAGAAGCCTACTCGACAGATGGCTGGCGACCGACGCGCTTTCTGAAGAAGTCGACAGTTGCCTGAATGAACGCAAAGACCGCGCTGAAGAATTGGGCTCGACCGTCGGTTTTATCCATCTTAGAAGCTGTCTGCCCGTCGTGTAGATCAAAATAGCCGTCGCGAGCCCACAGGACCTGGGTGCTCGGCGAACAACGCAGCCTGCTGCAGCTCACTCAAGGCGGCCGAGTGCGTCCACACCGAGATGGACAGGAGCTTGGTTGATTCATGGCTGCGCAGCCCTCCAATAGATCTCAAGGCTGGCCAGGCAACAAGGCTGCAAGTGAATGGCGTACAGGGATCCGCTGTTGCATCATATGCCGAGGTGCACCTAGTAAGGGGCGTGTGAATGTGTGCGGGCTAGCACAAACGCTTCACTTCATGCAATCGTGAATCCGCGCTCGCTCATCCATTGAGCTCCGCCCGAGGAAAAGCCACTCCAGACTCAAGACTTTTGAGTGCATGGCGCATGCAAGCTGCAAAGCACACAGATGCGACACGGGATGGGATATGCAGCAGCATGCATCGAGTCGCAGAGTTGTGCATACGCCACACATCCTCCCATCCGACGCGGGATCAAGCGCTTGCATGCCGGCTGTCACGCGTCAACTAACCGAGCTTAGAGTCCCCGGGTGCGGCGTGAGCGGGACTCATGACTTTTCACTCACTCTTGTCCCTACTCCTCTCTGGCAGAGCATATGGGAGTGGTAGTGGATTGCTACTGTGATCTTCGACTCAGGACTCTGAGTCACGAGTGCAGGATGGGCGAGCAGAGGTGGGAAGCGCGCGCGCACGCTCGCACGCACGATGACCCAAGCGCGGCGGCGAGACCGATTTGTCTGTTGTCCCAAGAGCATGTACAGGATCACGTGATATCACGTGACACTCGAGGCGTCTTCTCCACTTGAGTTTTGTCGCTGAGGCCCGTGAGAGTCTTGAGTCAAAGTTTGAATCGTGAATGGTGTCTGGCGAGACGGGAGATGAGCGAGTGGGTGAGTGCGCATTACGCCAATCAAGTGCGTGAGGATATGTAACCCCTTGGTTCCTGAGCCGCGACTCACACTTCGAGACAACCACCTCAAAACTCATTCATTCGCGAGTCTTGGCCCATCACTCGTAATCCTTGTCAAAAGTTAGCCTATCCTGTGTACGAGGGTGAATCCTTGATTCCTTCGACGTTCGTCTTTGGATCACGCGGGCCCCTGCTACACAGATCGAGAGAGACACCAACCGCCCTCGATCAAGCCTGCCTTTCAGGGACCCGCTAGCAAAATGGCAAGCCAAAGCGGAGTGCTTCGGGCAGCCGTGTCGTACCAGAAGCTGCCGGGCACGCTCAGTATCGACAGCCGTCACCTCTCATGGGCGCCCTCTTCGAGCTCCTCTTCGGGCTCTTCCCTCCACGTCCTCCTGACTCACATTGTTGGCCTGAGCGTCTCCAAAGCAGGCGCTAGCACTACTGCGATGGGTATCGCACTATCACCAGATACGCCCGGTGCCGGAGGCAAGACCAAGGTCATGCTCTATTTCACACCGGACACGAACGGCGATGGTGGAGAAGTGCAGCGGCGAGATCAGGTCAAGGATCATTTGAGCCCCATTGTCGCCGAGAATAAGGAAAAACAAGCCGCGCAGCAAACCTCTGCAGCTGCATCACCCGCACCTGCCGCTGCTCCTGATTCTGCTCACGCCCTTGCCTCCTCAACAGCCGTATCAGCGACAGTCTCTGGCAAAAGCTCGAGGGCAGCGGCGTCCCCAGCGACTGGACAATCGTCCACGCCCAATAACAAGGCGAAGAACAGAGTGACGGAGCTGGACTTGAGGTACAGCGTGCTACGAGCTAATCCGCAGCTCGCTTCGCTGCATCGCGATCTGGTCATGTCGGGAGAGTTGAAGGACGCGGAGTTTTGGGATCATCCTACAAGAAAAGCGCTTCTCAGTGCAGAGAGGGCTGCTGCTGAGCAAACGTCGGGGCGCAACGCGCGCATCGCAGACCCGAGACCGAGGACGGACGAGCGGGGAGAGATGAGGGTGGAGATCACGCCACAGCTGAAAAGGGACCTCTTTGAGCAGTATCCAGTCGTGCGCAGAGCGTGGGAGGAAAATGTACCCAAAGTGGTGAGTGCAGACCCGCTCTAAGGTGGTTAAGAGGGGTACTGACCGAGTGGGCGGGCCTGCTCATCACAGATGGATGAAGCCGCATTCTGGACTCGCTACTTTCAATCTCGCCTCTACCATCGCTTGCGCACCTCTGCCAGATCGGCGGCCAATGCTCACATCTTCAGAGAGGATGATATATTTGACAAGTATCTCGAGCAGAACGAAGATGATCGTGAGTTACGCGCGTGCATGTGAGCCAGACCGGTCATCGTGAATGCTCATGCAGACTCCCTATCTTGCAGAGATCGAACCTCGCAAGGAGCACAACGCACACGACGCGCTCCTCGATTTGGGTGCCACTGCAGAAGATCACCAAGAGACGGGCAACTTGGCAGACTACACGATGCGAGGGGGAACAAAGACGGCGCTACCTCTCTTGCGCCGCTTCAATGAACACAGTGCTAGTCTCTTGGACGATGCACTTGGCGCTCAGGAGGATGTGGAGGGCAACAAAAGGCGCAAAATTGGTGTCGATCAAGACTATGGTGGCGCCACGCACGGGCGCTATTGGGACAGCATCCACATGATGGACCTTGACGAGGAGGGCGAGGCAAGAGGCATCCCATTAGACCTCACTAGACAAAAGGAAATGTTTGAGAAGAGAGCGCGTGGCACTACTGATCTGGGCCCCGATGCGCTTACCGATGAGGTGCGTCGCCGTCTTTCCGCAAAGTCTCTCCGCAGATGATGGCACTCATCGCTGGACTTGCTTCCGCACCTGCCAGCAACTACAAGCAGCACTCCATAGCTGTCTTACAGCGCTGCCTTCTGTCTTGAATCACAAGCTGGGCGATTTCAAGCCCACGAGCAGCGCTGGCGGAATGAAGGTAATGCTGAATTCGATCAAGGCCAAATCGGCCGCGCGCGCGAGCTCGAGGGCCGGTGAGTGGCTACGAAACTACCTCACAACAGCAATCCTTGGCACCCAGCCGCTGACTGAATCTTTGCAATGCACTGCGTGCCACATCCAGAAATCGTGCCTGATGCTATCTTGAAGTCGGTGATGTCGCACCAAGCAGCCGTCAACGAATTCCTGCGCCAGTACTGGGCGGCCTTGTCACAGCAACCCGCTAGAGCTGCTCGTATGCTCGCAGCGATTGGGCGATTGCGCGAGCAAGGGCTGAAGGTCGAACGAGAGGCTGAAGCCGCCCTTCCGGGGCAAGGAAGCGAGCGAGTGCGCATGGTATGTGTCGCGGGTCTTTGAACTTGATCATCGAGACGACTCCGACTGACCTAGGGTCTGGTCTGCTCACTCCCTAGCTGATGGCTCCCACGCTACAAGCAGTCACCCGGGCCATGAGCATCAGTTCCAAGTCATCTGCATAGCAAATACATTGTAGTGCAAGAGTCATCACGAGCGATCTCCACGCGTGTTCCACCCACACGCGCCGAGGCCTTCATTCCTCGCTGCGGACTGGCATTGCAGCGAAGAGCCCAACAAGCGGACGGAAGTGGTTGTTGCATTGACGCAGGATGGACTTGATGCGATCAAGATTGGTGCGAGTGGAGCCAAGTTGGTCCACGCTGCGCAATGTCGCCCCGCGGAAGCACCAAGGGCTGTTGTGGTTAATGGAAGCCTGCGTCACGTCCATCTCCCATCGTCCGTGCATGGCCCAGGCTGTGGCGTTGAAGAATGTTTCGGTCGTCCTCGTCTCAAAGATTGGCGCGTCGAGCCACAGAGGCTGAGGAGCTCGCACAGCTTTCGAGGAGACTCCCCGCGTGCTTCGGAAGATGCCTCCACTGAACCCACTGTAGATGCTGCTACTGCCGTTGTGGCGCTCGAGAGGAGCGACTGGCATCTGGGACAAGAAGTGGACAGCTCTGGCCGAGCAGATGCTTGCTTCGCCATCCTGTTGTGTGCTGCCGAACCAATCGTTTCCCACAAACGAGCCGACAGCACCCGGGGTACTTTCAGTCAGATGGTAAGGCATGTTGGATAGCTCGAAAGACAAGAAGAGCGACTCGACTTGGCCTGATGAACGGGCGCAGAGTCGCATCAGCATCAGCACAAAGCCAGGGGCGAACAGTCAATAGACAGCTCACCTTGGCTAAATCTGGACCAGATGTGGTCACGAGAAGATTTTTGGTGCATGGCTAGATTGGCAAGTAGAGCTGAGAAGACTCCGGCTCTGCTCTTGTCGAAGGCCGCTACCTTGGGCGTCATCACCCCATCAGCCACGTAATCCCAAAATGGCAAGGAAGAGAGTCTCTGACTGGGCCATGACTCGTCAAATTGATCTTTGAGCCAGCTAACCATGCGCTGTGCCCTTGCAGTTGCTGGCAGGCCTCTCTCGCGGAATAGGAAAGTGCCAGTCTGGAGGAAGCCTTGCTGCTGGAACAGGAGAGCAGGATCGGCCATCCATGTGATGTCTGGAGCGCTGAGCACGACGCGCTGGAATTTGGTGGCTAGGAGCGCCATCGCTTGCCTAGCTTGAGATTCTGGGCCGTTCGGAATCCTACCAGCGTCATCTTCCATTGCGCTTGAGAAGTAGGGTAGCTCGTAAATGTCTATGACCCTCACATCGCGCATAGATTCGAGCGCACTCTTCAGAGGCTTGTCCAACTCGCTTGCTCCGTAGTGATACACTTCGATGGGTAAAATGCATTTGTGCGTCGAGCGGAGCACAGTAATGGTTTGAAGCGCTGCAAGCACGGTGTTGGACGTCACCGCCATGACGATACCTTCCCGCAGAGGTACGAGAGAGCCAGAGACGGTGTGCCGAGGTCGTGACAGCTCTCGGAGCTCCCACACCCCAGGAACAAATTTCCATAGCACCTCGCTCAGCGCATTCAGCTCAAGCGAAGCGCCTCTTCGAAGTAGCTCGGCGTAGACATGCGTGCGAAAGCCGAGCTCTCTCAAGCTGTATCGATCTTGAGGCTGCACGGCATGATTACCGATGTGTGTGGTCCACAGCTCGATGGCTCGGTCGTCGATGCGACGAACTCTCTGCGTGCCGAAGAGGGGAAAGCGCGCTGGAGCGCAGAGGTGGAGAACGACAGAAAGCAGCAGCCAAGCACACGACCAAAGCGCGAAACGCACTACCAGTCGTTGTTGTGCGATCATGGTGATGATCTTCATCTTGACGAGCACTTGCCTTTCGACGGTGCGATTGGATGAGGTTTGAAGACGAAGCAATCGTTCTTGTCTATGGTGGACGTCGCTGTTGTGAATGCCGAGTTGCTCGGTGTCAGGAGTGTGGTGGGCATGAAGAGTAGCGCGACCATCAATCCAGGTGGGCTGATAGTGAGTGACTTTTCTCTTTGCAATCATGAATCAAAGCGTAGTCGCGGAGATGTCACTCGGGACTGTTGGGTTGAGGCTGACGCCTCCGCTGCCATCTCTTCAACCCAGGTGTGGAGCACAGCGAGTCTTTCAGCCGCTTGTCCGTGGAGGACTCTTGTCGCTTCACTCAAACATCAAACATCAAACATCAAAGCTCACAGCCACAGTCTCACCGGCCACGCTGTGCGAGTCTTGCACATCCAACGGCACGACCCTCCTTCTCCCACATTGCACAGCTGCATGAACGGCGCCACGGCACGCGCGGGAAGAGAGCAGGAGGCACCAGCTAGCAGCTCAAGACGCTCAACGGCTAGTTCCTCGGGTTTTGGAAGAGATGTCGATCTGGCATGACTGGGCGCGGCAGTCGACGACCCAAGGAGAACGTGTGAAGTGTGATCATCATCAAAGGGCCTGGACCTGTCTCTGTGGGCGAGGTGGTGCCTGCCTGGCAGTTCACAATTCCTTGCCATTCTCACGACGCACGCAAAACCCCTTTTCACGATGAATTGCCGCTGCTTCGATCTGCATGCAATATGCCAGCTGCTGTCCGATGCACGCTGTCACAGCAGGCTCCCGCTCCAGGCTCCGCGCCTGCGTGCAGCTGCATTTGGCGCATGTCGGTGCATACATCTCGGGTACGTACCGGAGGTACGGTACGGTACCAGTCCCTACGACTAGCTGAGAGGATGTTGGCGGTACACTCATCGTGAGTGCATGCACGACACACACTCGCGTGACTGGTGGTACATGGGTCAGTGCTGCTGCATGCACCGCACGCGCGTGGGCATGCACAAGCCAGGCAAAGCCACACGCGCGCGAAGTGTTGCTTCACCATCCCACCCCACGGCCAGAGCAGAGCGTCCATTGAACACTTTTGGGTCTGCTACGGCGCAAAGCAAAATCTCGAACACGTGAAGAGGAGCAGAAGAAGCAGCATGAAGAAGTTTCGCTAAGCCTTCGCAATGTTTCAGCTGCGGACACATGGTCAGGAGCGCAAGTCGGCTGGCATCTGGACCCTGCCTATGTGCGAGACGATGTGGCGTCGCATGGCCCTCGCAGGGACTGGACAGAGGCAGCGACACACGCTCAGCTGGTTTTGAAGTCGTTCTACCGCAAGCAAGCGTGCCAGAAAAGCCACAGAAGCGTTTGACTCTCTAAGCTGAGAAGCACCCAATACAGGCAGTAGCATGAGCGATGCAGTAACGTCGCGCACAGCAGTCGATCCACGACGCCGATGCAAGCCGAGCGAGCACTGCCTCTCGTGGCTTCTCAATCGTGACGCAGGAACGAGGCAGCCACAGTAGAGAGATAATTGTCTTCCTCATCACTGGTCTTACCTCATTCGTCTCCGCTCTTCGGCCCATCACGATATGTCGCTCAGCTTCGGGAGTGTGCAAGACATCCTGCAAGGACAGTCTCAGAAGCTTCCCGATGTCAGCGGAGTCTCAGGCTTCGTCGGCCAGTACGGGCCGAGTTCTGCCTTCCGTCCACGGCCAGAGCTCCTCGTCAAGACTCGATCAAAGCCTCAGCGAGGAGTTTTTCCTCCCGAGCAGCTGCTCGCAAGGTTGCGCTGCTGTCCTAGACCGCCGTATCGCGTGACCGGGATCAAGTCCAGGTCTCTATCGTCGAGGTCGCCCTTTGTCGGAAGCTCTTTGGCATGTTGATTGGAACTCCATCAGCCTTGGCAGCACGCCACAAAAATTTCCCGAAATCATGCTTCACGCACGTCGGCAGTCGCCAGTGGAGTATCACAACGTCACGACGTCTCGATCTCCAGTGTCTGTGGTACGAAGCCGGTGTAGGCGCGGCAAGCTTTGCGGGAACGGTACGTGTCATCAGAGAAGCTTACAAAAGGGGCCCTTTTTTATTGCAACGAAGCCTCTCTCCTCACGAAGCACTTTTCCCACGTTCCCTCTCTCAATCTCATCTCACTGTTCCCTCTCTCTGTCTACTTTCCCTCCTCTCGAATCCCGTACCTGTCCTCATCGCATTTCGCCACAATGCGCGTCACTTTGCTTGCCCTCCTGCCTATTGCGATGGTCATCGCTTCGTCTTCCAAAGTGAAGGCTCTCAACATGGGCGATCTCACTCAGGAAGACATGGAGATCTTGGACGCTCGCAATCACTGGTTCGAGCGTGACCTCTACGCCGAGAGAAGATCCGTCCCATCCGGCCCCACCTCAACTTCCGTCTCCGTCGTCCCACGTCCCACGGGAACTTCCGCACCCGGCACTGGCTGCACCAAGTCTGCCGACTGTGGCACAGGCAACTGTGAAAGAGGTGTCTGTAAACCCGTCGTTTCAACGGGCGCTCAATGCTACAAGAATGCCAATTGTGCCAGGTGAGTGTTGTCATGTCGTGACTTGCCTTTTTGATCGATGCTGAGACCGACAGTATCCTTTTCACAGCTTCAACTGCAACAACGGCAAGTGCGTTCCCGTCAAAGGTCAAGGTGTCAAGGGTGAGACGTGCAACGCCTCGGATCAATGCACCGCAGGATCTTTCTGCGAGTACTCCAAGTGCAATGCCAAGGTCGCGTCCGGTGGAGTCTGCTACAAAGACGCCGGCTGCACCTCTGGAAACTGCGTCAACAAGACCTGTATTGAACCTGCTTCCGTCAGCCGTGGTGGCCGTTGCACCAAGACACTTCAGTGCAAGTCCAACTCTTACTGCGGCACCAACAACCGCTGTGCGGCTAAGGCCAACAAGGGTGGTGCTTGCTACAAGACCGAAGGCTGCGCGGCTGGCCTCACTTGCCGAAAGAAGAAGTGCCGCGCTTGATCACAAGCTCCGGCTCCTCTCAGCAGGCGCTCGAGAGCGTCTGATGCCGCCAAGTTCGAAGCTATTCCAACGAGGTTCGCCAAGCACGGCGGCCAGACGCCTGAGTCATTCCGACATTTGAGACTACACATACCCTCTATCGTCACGGCATCACACTTCACTTTCCTCATTGCCCTTCACTTTGTTCGTCCCCTTTCCATCTCACCATTGATTCTCGCAGAGCCCCACCTTGTCAGTCGTAGAAGGCACGATTCTCACCTCACGCAATGCTATCACAGTCTGCTTCTCCTCAGCGCGATAAATGTGGCTGCATTGGCATCTTTCTTAGAACGGCGGGGGGTCATTCGCGATGGTCAGACTTGTGCCTCAGCTGAATACAGCGTGCATGCGATTGAAAGCCGAAGTTGGGCAATGCCAAGTGTGTGGCATCGTCACGCACACAATTGGGAGGCGAGGCGGCGCTCTCACTGAATGACAGCTGATCTCATTTTGCCCCCGTCACGCGACCTCTCGATCAGAACGCAGAATTCTTCATATGGCTTAATTTCTGCGGGAATGCCAGTCGTCCAATAAGTTTTGGGTGTGAGAAGACGAGCTCCGTCGTGCATCGGGAGCCTTGCATGCAGCGGAAGTGCTGCAGCGGGAGCTCTGCATGCACGCATGCATATGTACATCATGTACTCCGCCTTTGACAAGCGGAGCCGAGATGAGAGATGCACACCTAGCTGTAGCTACACAGACGAGGGTAGGTGGCACAAAAAGTTGTCATTACAGTCAGACAGAGTGTGAGCCGTGAGGGCACAAACCCGCATATAGCGCATGCAGCATGCCCGGGACCGGCGTGTGGCGTAAGTTCTCATAGGGGGCCCGTGCAGAACGTCACGTCTGGGTCCATCCATCATGCATGCAGGGTTAAGCCCGTTTTTCTTTTTGACGATCATGCTACCCGATGACAGGGATAGGCCCCATCTTTGATATCAGCAGCGTGAGCGAACTGAGCACCACGCAACACGCATCGCGTGACCTCGACGTGTGGCTTGACGAACATGTCGTGGATTGCGCATTGCTTCTTCACCAATCGGCATGACTTGCAAGCCTCAGCTGGCCGTCTCTTGCTTCACGACGCGACTCATGTCAACGCGTCGAGGCAGCGTGTGGCCTACTGAGCCTGAGGGGAGCGCTTGTCGAATCCTAGTCGAGCCCTGCCATTGCGACCTTGCAGGCTGCACTGCTTGGTCGAAGCGAGCGAAGGAGGCTGAGCAGCTGCTCGACTCACGTGCTTCGTCTCGATACAGATGCCATGGCATCCCTATAGCAAGCTCCCAATCGGGGTTGAGACTGGATCAGCACATGTCTCTGGTGTCCCGCACATGTCTCTGGTGTCCCGCATCGCCAAGAAAGTCTGCTAAAGTCAGCCTAAATTGCTTGACTTGCAACATCCGCTCCGCGGG